ACAGCAGCACGTCCCTCCCTGCCTCAGGGCCCAGATAATGCTCGGTGGACTGGCTGAGTTTGGCCTCGCCTGAGAGGAACACGGAACCATGGAGCCGTGGTCCTCCGGCCTTCCTAGAGCGGAGATGATAGTGCGCTGGGGAGCGAGCGCTCACTCTCAGCAAAGAGCTCAGACGGTGCTCGAGAGCGTTTGGTTCCTCCTGAGGGTCTTTGGCGGGGTAAGTAGGGACTATGCTCCGAGTTGGGGAGGAATTGCGGCCAAGGTGCAGGGGAGCAGCTCACTTCCTCGGGGTGCAGAGAAATCTTCCGGGGCGGAAGGGCCCTACCGCCTGGGGGCGGGGGCGGGGGTGGGAGGTGTCAATCCTGGGGCCTATGAGAGAGATGAAGCTGTGGTCTAGTAAACGGCGCAACGTTCTGCTGCATATTTTTCATCTCTTGAGCGCAATTTAAAATATATATTAAAGGTAAGCCTTAGAAGATAATATTTGAGCAGAGACCTGAAGGAGGTGAAAAGACCTATGTGGCTTTTGGGGGCACGAGCCTTTTAGCGGGAGGGAACAGCAAGTGCCAACCCCTAAAAGCGAGAGCTTGCTTGACATATTCGAGGATTAGCCGGGAGACCAGAGTGGTCGGAGCACAGTGGACAAGGGTGAAGTTTGTAGAGGATGATATTAGAGAGATTGAGGGGTAGGGGAGGGGTATAGAAGAAGTGGGCATTGTATTGTGTATTGTATTGTGTGAAAGAGTTTTTGGAGGATTTTGAGCGGAGGAAAATCATGATCTGACTTATGCTTTAAAGCATCTATAGCTGGGAACGCATTATGAGAATAGACTGGGGCGGCAAGAATGGAGTCAGAGAAACTTAAAAGTTCGGAGACTATTGCAGGTAATTCGGGTAGGAGATAAGGATATCTTGGACTAGTATTATGGTAGAAGTGGTTAGTAGTGGTCAGATTAATGATCTACTTTGAAGGTAGAGCCAACAGGATTTGCTGTTGTGCGAGTAAAAGAGAAGACAAAGATAAATCCAAGGTTTTTGATCTGTGGCTGCGAGAGATATTGGAGGAAACCTCTGAGGTTCAGCTTTGGGACCTTGTGTAAGTTGTTTAAGTCTCCATGTCTCAGTTTCCTTCTCTGTACAATGAGGTTAGTAATAGTATCTTCTTGATAGGGTTGTGTGAGCGTTAAATGCATTAATACCTGTAAAGTGCATAGAACAGTTGTACTGGCTTATTGTTTTATTATGCTGAGACATGAAGTGTGTATGGGCATTAATGAAAAGCAAATTGGAGGGTTGAAGAGGGTTCCAGGCAGAAGGAGTAAGATGTGGAAGGACCTAGGAGCAGGAAAGAGTATTGCAAGTTTGAGGAACAGAAAGTTCATTAGATCACAAGAAAATTTTAAACCATATTAAATGTTTTAAACTTGATCCTAAGGGCAATGATGAGCCATTAAATGCAATGTAGACAGGAGAGACATAATCATATTTCCTCTTTAGAATAATCACTGTCTGCAGTGTGGAAAATAGATTGGTGAGTCAGAAAGACCAGCTGCAGTAGTCTGTATAGGAGAAGATGGTGGCAAAGGGGAGGAAGAGGAATGGATAGATTTGAGGGGTAGTTAGGCAGAATCAATAGAACTTAATTGAGCTGATGCACGAGATATGAAAGGAGGCAGGAAGGGTCAGTTTATCAAATTATTTATTATATATTGTGTTTGATGTATTTAATCACATCATAGAAATGAGCCATCACTAATTCAACAACCTACACTATATACCTGTATTAGAGAACTGCAGAGAGTCAGAAGCAATAGGAGACATATAGATGTAGACACATAGAGATATAGATTTATTGTAAAGAATTGGCTCATGCACTTATGGAAGCTGGCAAGTCCCAAGATCTGCAGAGGGAGTCAGCAAGCTGGAGACCCAGGAGAGCCAATGGTTTAGTTCCATTCTGAGTCCAAAGGCCTGAGAACCCAGAGATCCAATAGCATAGATACAGTCAGAAGGCAAACAGGCTTGAGAACCAGGAAGAGCCGATGTTTCCATTCAAATCTGAAGGCAGGAAAAAAGCTTATGTCTCAGTTTGAAGGCTGTCAGGCAGGGTGAATTCTCTCTTACTTGGGGTAGAGTCAGCCTTTTTGTTGTGTTCAGACCTTCAACTGATTGGATGAAGCCCATCCACATGATAGAGGGCAATCTGCTTTACTCAGTCTACTGATTTAAATGTTAATCTCATCCAAAAACACCCTCGCAGAAACATCCAGAATAATGTTTGACCAAATATCTGGATACCCCATGGCCCCATCAAGTTGTCACATAATATTAACCACCATAATACCAAATTTATTTTCTGGCTAATAGTCATCACTTTCTTGGAGTTTTTCACTTCTATTAAGAATAGTTAATATTTGGCTTTTTAAATTTTGAGTCTGTTTTTGACAAAGAAAACTGTATATCAGCTGGGAGTGTTACTATGTGCACATCCAGGAAAATATAACAGCAAGCTGTATTTGGAGCCTAGCCAGGCACAGCCACTAATTGAGGGACTCCCCCCTCACTCATGCATATTGATTCAAAGGTGTGTATCAGCAGCTGGCTGATGTTATTCACTGATCTTTAGAATCACTCAAGAGTAGTCAACATCAAGGATGCTAAGTCCTCACATACCAAGGGCCTGCCCCAAAGGATGATGGTAGAATTCTCTGAGTTCGTTTTGACATGTTGGGTTTGAAAGCCTTCTGTAAGGTATCCAGGTACCAGATAGCCAGGAGGAAATATAGGTCTGGCACTCTTGAGATATCTGGGCTGGAAAATAAAGAAATCATTGGCATAAAGATAGTAATTGAAGTTACAAACGTGCGTGTCCTCTACATTACCGCTTCCTAGCTTCTGCCCTATTTCTCTTCTTCCATTCAATGTCTTATTTTTTGAAAGAGTAAGTTTTGCTCACTCTTGCCATTTTCTCATTTTCCTATGGCAGGCAGACTTTTCTCCCTATTCCACTATCGGAATTGCCTTCACAGAGGTCACGATGACCTTCTTGTTTTTTAATTAAGTGCATATGTCAGGTCTGAGATTAATCCACCTTCCTATGCATTTCATGCTCTTGAGCAATGCCTCTTTATAATTCCAATTATGAATCAATGAATTTCTGTTCTTACAATTATTATCTCATTTACCTCAAAACATCTCTATGAATTAGGTATTGTCTTCATTTTACAAATGAGTAAACTAAGGTTCTAAGAGGATTAATAGCTTGTCCCAGGCCACACTGCTTGTAAGTGACAGGGCTGGATTAGAACCCAGGCTCTTTCCACCACTCCACACCTACAGAAATAGATCTCCTTGGCCTGCTGGATACCACCATCTTTATTCTTCTACTTCTCCCCTTGTTCCTTCTCACTTCTCTTCCTACATCTAGGTGTTTCCCAGGGATCCAGCCCCATATAGCCTTTTTCTAGCCATAACTAACTACTAGCCTGAATGTGCCAGGCTTTCCAACAGCTCTGTGCTAAGGGCCTCTGTCTGGAAAATGCTTTCCCTATTTTAGTGTCTAACTTGCACTTGTCTTTTAAGAATCAGAAGGACTCTCCTCCAGGAAGCCTTTTCTAACCTGCTACTGGGAATTTGGTGCCTTGTCATTGTGCTCTGCTAGCATCCTGTACATACCTTCATGGCACTTAACACTGAACTGTCATTGCTTATTCACTGAAGATTTCTTGAGGAGCAGAGAGCTGCAGAGGCCAAGGAGTTGTCTTTTATCTCTGTATCTGTGCAACTAAGAGAGTCTGGCACATAGTGGACAATCAGTAAATGAGATGTTATGAATATCTTTACATTCTTTTAGGTAATTCTGATATTGGTGGTAATGACTGTATAAGCAGTTTTCCTTACTTTGTGTCTTTCCCCCTAAAACATTTTGAGAATTTTCAACTCTACAGAAAAGTTGAAAGAATAGTACAATTAATACTATATACTCCTCATGTAGCAGCAGTTGTGAACTTCCTGCTACATTTGTGCTCTTTCTCTGTCTCCACCTACCCACACACACGCTTTTTTCCACTGAAACTTTTGAAAAAAAGTTTTAGCACCATCTCCTGAGAATAAGGATATTCTCTTAAATGGCCACAAAACTGTTAACCCACCTGAGAAAATTCTCTCTCGGGATCTACAAACTTGGTCTCTAAAGGGCCGGATAGTAAATGTTTTAAGCTTTGCAGGTGATATGATCCCTGTAGCAACTACTCAGACCTGCCAGTGTGGTGCAAAAGCAGATGTAAGCAATACCTAACCAAATGGGTGGAGCTGTATTCCAGTAAAGCTTTATGTGCAGGCTTTGGGCTCTATTTGGTCTGCTGGGCCGTGGTTTGCCTATATATCATTCATATTAAGGTTTCTGAATTCTTCAAAAAATGTTTCTATCTTTTTTTATTTTTTTAACTCAGGAGCCATTGTTACACATTGCATTTCACTGTGTCTCCAATCTGGAACAATACCTTCCTCACATCTTCTTTTTATTTTCCCGAAATTGATTATTTTGAACAGTCCATGCCTGTGTAGATAAGCTGCATTCTGGACTTACCTGCAAGTTTCCTCATTATTAGTTTCATGTCTCCATTTTTCCGTTTGTAATAAATAAGCAACCAGTGTGGTGATTCTTTGAGATGGTGAGAATGTCCTTTCCGCCCACTGCTTTCACCTACTGGTTTCACCCATTTGTGGTCCTTGATTGAATCATTTATTTTGTCAATGGCTACAACATGGTGATTTTTCAAATCTGTTATTCCTGCTATGTTAGCTGACAATCTTCTGTAAACAGTTTTCTCATTTGTGTGTGTGTGCTTGTTTTAGGAATGGTTGTTTCGAAGAGAAAAAAAATGGATGGTAATTATTGGAAATGCATAAACCCAACAAAGGGGTGTTGCTATTGTTGTTATTGTTATCATTACTACTACTGTTACTGCTTCTGTGATTCTTGTTATTACATTTTCAGGAGTATCGCTGAGGAGACAGTCAAAAGACAGTCCTTCAAAACAGAGAGCAGGCTGAAGCTGGGGATGGCAGCAGCATTGATGAGTGCTCATTCCCCGGCTCCTCTGAATCTGAAGAAGGAGGGGCTTCGGGTAGAGAAGGAGGATCAGCGCTCTGCTTGGCAACAGGGACTCCAGCTGCAAGGAGACAGCACAGGCCTTGGACAGGAGCTGTTGTGCAAACAGTTCAGGCAGTTGCGCTATGAAGAGACCACAGGACCTCGAGAAGCACTGAGCCGGCTCCGGGAACTTTGCCGACGGTGGCTGCGGCCCGAGACCCACACCAAGGAGCAGATCCTGGAGCTGCTGGTGCTGGAGCAGTTCCTGAGCATCCTGCCCGAGGAGCTCCAGGCGCGGGTGCGGGAGCATCACCCGGAGAGCGGGGAGGACATGGTGGTTGTACTGGAGGATTTGCAGCCAGAGCTTACAGAAACAGGACAACAGGTGGTAAGTCAGGTGTGCTCTTTTGCAGGAAGGCAGGAATTGAGATCTCTGGCCAGAGAGGCGAACATGAGCTCTGCAGTGGGAGGAGAACTGAACTGAGCTCAGGTTCAGTTTCTTTTCAGCCTGGCTGTTCATTGCTGTAGGTCTTCCTTCTCTGCTGGGAGGGAACTGAATGCAATCCAGATCCCCCAGCCTCTTTTCTTCTCTCTCTTTTCTAACATTGAAGAGTTTTTCTGAACAGCAGTTTCCTCCTAAACCCACATGTACCTAATTGTCCCTAGGACCCAGACCAGGCAAAGAAACAGAAAATGCTTGTAGAAGAGACAGCCCCCCTGAAGGCAGTGCAAGAGAGGCAGGTCCAGCCTGAGTGTGAGGTTTCCAGGCCTGAAAAGGAGAAAGGTAAGAAATGGACCACATCTTCTTACATGTGGGATGCAGTGGGCTTTGTAATTCCCTCCTGAGGCCCTGCTCAGCACCCTTGGCATTTTGCTTTTTGTTTTTGTTTTGAGTCAGGTTTATTGAAGTTAATTTACATACAGTAAAATTCATTCTTTGTAAGTCTACAAGTCAATGAGTTTTCACAAACATGAAATAATTACAATCATCTAATCACCACTACAATCTAGATATAAAAGTTTTCATCACTCCACACATTTCCCTTGTACTTTATCCTTGTTTTGTTGTTGTTGTTCAGTTAAAACTGAAGCCTTCTCCTATGTGGACCTTCACCTTGCTTTTCTCCCCATTACTGTAGGGGTGAATAAAAAAGAAATGCTAGTGGGCCAGCCCCAGTGGCCTAGGGGTTAAGTTCAGCACACTCTGCTTCAGTGGCATGGGTTTGGTTCCCAGACGCAGACCTACACCACTCCTCTGTCAGTGGCCATGCCGTGGCAGTGGCTCACATACAAAAAGAGGAAGATTGGCAGTGGATGTTAGCTCAGGGTGAATCTTCCTCAGGGGGGAAAAAAAAAAGAAATGCTGGTTTCTCACCCAAGGCAAAGAATTCCAGCCACGTGCTTCGTTACTCATTTTTTCTTACAGCCTTCAAATTATGGTAAATGGCTACCATCTTTTATTTCTAAATGTCACCTGGATTATTTTTTGCTATAGTGTATTTTCCTTGCTGCTGAAATCTCTCTAATTTCTGTCCCTTTCATTTCTCTTTTCCTTTTTCTAGTTTGATACAAGCCTGCTTCTCTTTTTTTGTTTTAGTGTCTCTCATCTTGGTGCTTCCATTGACATTAAGTTACTTCCTGTTCATTCTCCATCATTTAAACACAAATTCATTAATGTTGCCCCCCACCTTAAAACCTTTCAGTGAGCTGAGTAATATTATTCTTTCAACTTTTTTTTGATGTTTGAAAAATTCCATAATAAAAAGTGAAAAATAAGAAAAAACCACCACCTTCAGCGATTTCTAATAGCCATTAACAAAGGCCTCACATGGCATGTTCTGGCATCTGCTGACCTCTCAGCCTCATGTCCACTAGCGTAACCCATTTGTTACAGTGTGCTTGAGACTTTAACACTTGCGGCTCCACGTCCTGTGAAGCCCCTCATTCCCAGACAAATTGGGATGGTGAGTCACCCTTTGACCCACCTGCTCACACTGTGCGTTGCCATCATGCTGAGCTATATTCCATTTCCATTTGCTCCCTGCTATTTCTTTCGTCTGAGCCTCTTCTGCCTTGTTTCTTCTGTCTGAACGCTTTTTCCTTACTCTCCCTGACTAATTCCTGCTTGTCCTTCAGGACTGAGCTTAGGTACCACTTTCTCTATCCTTCTCTAGGTCCCCCAAGTCTGGACCTGTTTCCCCACCTGTGCTCCTAGAGCTCGAAGATTTCTCCTGTCATAGAATGATCACATTGTGTTATAGTTGCTGGTTTACTTCTCTTTCTCTCCTGCCAGACTGAAAGGGCAGGGGCTTTGCTGTGTTTCCTGAGTCTGCTAGAGGCCCTGGACTCCAGTAGACCCTCAATAAATGTCTATTTGATGAATGGCTGATTTCGATTCTAAAGCCTTCTTGTACCTACTACCTACTTTCCCTGTTCAATTTCTGAGTCTGCTTCAAAGGTTCCCTTCTTCTGGAAGCTTTCTGAGTAAAGTAACTGAAAGAGAGGGGCATGCCTTTTCTGAATAGCCTTGCAGAAATAAATTTATGCCAGGTAATCAATGATGAGTGTATATTTTAAATATGAAAAGTAAATTTAGTGACAGTATATTCTTGAAATTGTTCCTTACCCTCTGGATCTGTTGAAAATGTTATTTTATATTCAAAGTTCAGGTTGTTGTTTGGTTTCAGACCCCGCCCCCCTTTTGGGTTGTATATGTCATTATATCATTGCTGGGAAAGAATCTCTCCTATTCTCTTCCCTTAATTCTCCCTCCCTCCCCCATGTAGGCGACTTCATTCTCTTGCAAAGGGCCTCTACACACAGTACATCGTCTACCTCATTTCATCTTCCCGCCCCCCACATGTGACTTTACTTTCTCTGATGTCTCCTTACCACTCCCTTCTCTCACTTTTACTTTTGGCTGTCACCTGCTCTCACTTTTTAAATGATCTGCTGCCTTTATCTTGCTCACACTGATCAACCTGCATTTGTTTGTTATTACTGCTGCTTAGGATCTCCCTCTGCTATTTTCTCTATCCACCTCCCCTTTTACTCTCTCATTCTGACTTTGCATCCCTCCCAGTCATGCTACTGGCCTTAAAAGACTTATCCTATCTGCCCATCCCTCTCACCCTTCTGCCTGTGTGTCTGAACTTAGGTTTTATTCAGCAAACATTGTTTACTGTCTCTTTGTACCAGATATACGAGCAAATTATTGCAGCATTGAGATGTAACAGCTCTGTTGAACCACACAGGAAAGCAGTTACTGCTGTCCAAGGAGATCAGGAAAGGCCAAGAAGTTCACATTGTTGTGAACTTTGTGTTACCCTCAAGGTCTTCTGGTCCAATGTTTTTGATTTATTGGTGAGGCCACTGAGCCCGAAGGGTTTAAATTACCTTTCTAGGATTACACAGAATCAGTGATAAAATTGGTATCACATCTATGTTTCTTCATTTCCAATTCATTTCTTCATTTCCAGTGCTATCTCTTTTTTTTTGGCCCCAGGGTCCTGAATTGATCCAGCGTTTTTATTTTCCATGCGACAAACCGTTTTGAAGAATATGCAGTTTTTCCCTGCTATCTGGAAGTAGAGCATTCCTATGAAACCTTTCGTAAGCCGAAATGGCGTAAAGCGAAGAAGCAATTACCGTTAATTTATATGGGAAATTTTTTTTTTTTTTTTGCTGTGGAAGAGTTGCCCTGAGCTAACATCTGTTGCCAATCTTCCTTTTTCTAATTCTGTTTTTGCTTGAGGAAGACTAGTCCTGAGCTAATATCTGTGTCAATCTTCCTCTATTTTTTATGTAGGTTGCTGCCACACCATGACTGACGAGTGGTGTAGGTCTGCACCCGGGATCCGAACCCACAAATCCCAGGCCACCAAAGCGGAACGCGCCAAACTGAACCACTATGCCACGGGGCCAGCCCTGGGAAAAATTTTTGAGCATTCCCAGACTCAAAAAATAACCTACCAAAATAAATGGAAATAAAGCACAGGTGCTCACAGACACAGTTCAAAGCTACAATGGCTTGATGCTGAGGTGCAGAGTATAGTTCCTGGGGAAGGAGTTTGGTGGCGCCATTCTCTCTGCTTGGGGTGCGTGTTACCACATTAACAGCTTGCTGCAAAACAAATGCTGGGCACTATTTTCACTCTCCACCTTTTTTTGCAAAAGCAAAAATCTTCAGATTTCCTTCTGTTAGCGAAAACAAGTACTAATGTAGGTCTTTCTTAAAAGCAAAGTGGCGTAAAGCAAACTTTCAGGTAACGGGAAACCTGTATAAAAGGGTATAGCCATGCCCTTTAAGACAGTTTGCTTGCTTGCTAACTCGTGTTTGTGTGTGTGTGTGTGTGTGTGTGTATCACATGATAAAATTCAAACCATTTAAAATAAGTCACCTCCCACTGCAATCCCCAACCTTTCCCAAAGACAACCACTGTTAACAATTTCTTATGTATCATTTCTTATATATTCTATGCAAACACAAGCATCCACAGCATTTCCACTTTGCACATATGGCTTGATTTAAATTTTTTCTTCCTAATTGCAGATTCCTTTCCCCAAGCACCAAAAAACAAGTAATTGCTGGTATATATTTAATGTTTCAGGTGAGGACACAAGGACTGAGAATGGGAAGCTGGTTGTAGAGACAGACCCTTGTGGAGGAGTGGAATCATCTAGGAAGATATCTGAACCCATAGAGACTCATTATGGGGACTCTGACTTGGAAAGACCGCAGGCCAAGCCCAAGGAGAAGACTGCCTATAAATGCTCAGACTGTGGGGAGGGATTCATCCAGCACTCAGACCTGATTAAACATAAAGGTACGCACATGAGGGAAAAGCCCTGTGCATCTGAAGTGTGTCAGAGTTCTAGTCTTACTAGACATCAGAAAATCCGTTCTAGAGAGAAAGGTCATCAGTGTCATGAGTGTGGGAAGACCTTTCAGAGAAGTTCACACCTTGTCAGACACCAGAAAATCCATCTTGGCGAGAAGCCTTATCAGTGCAAGGAGTGTGGAAAAGTCTTTAGCCAGAATGCAGGCCTTTTGGAACATCTCAGAATCCACACTGGAGAGAAACCTTATCTGTGTATCCACTGTGGAAAGAACTTCAGACGCAGCTCTCACCTTAATCGACACCAGAGAATTCACAGTCAGGAGGAGCCTTGTGAGTGCAAGGAATGTGGAAAGACCTTTAGTCAGGCCCTTCTCCTCACCCACCATCAGAGAATCCACAGCCACTCCAAAAGCCATCGGTGCAACGAGTGTGGGAAAGCCTTTAGTTTGACCTCAGACCTTATTCGACATCACAGGATTCACACTGGAGAAAAACCTTTCCGGTGTAATATATGCCAGAAAGCCTTCCGACTGAACTCACACCTCACTCAGCATGTGAGAATCCACAAAGAAGAAAAGCCCTATGAGTGTAATGAATGTGGAGAAGCCTTCAGACAGAGGTCAGGTCTTTTTCAACATCAGAGGTATCACCACAAAGACAAACTGGCTTCCTGACGTGTCCTTTGCTTATGGAACCTCAGAGACAGTACATTAACAAACAAACAGCACTTGAGGAAAGGTCACTCTAGCCAGCTCTGGGGGAGCTGGGGGCCAAGTTGGAGGCTGTCTGCCTCCACTCTTCTTTGTTTTTCTTGAAGTCAGCTTTGGACCATAATAATTTGACTCTAGATGGTACTGTGGGATCATAGTTAAACAGCATTCTTTACTGCAGGACTTCTTGGAGCCATTAACATGGTTAATGCATGATTATGCATCTCCAAATAGTAGAGAGCCTCGTGATTGAGAGAGGGCTTTGAAGTCAGCAGCAAATCAAGTGTCCACAGATTTACAGGCTTAAGCAGAACAAGAGCAGGTTGATATTTTTGCATATGCTGCAGCAACAGACTCCTATACAATAAAACTCATGATGTTTGGAAATATACCATACTCAAAGGTGTCTTAAAGTACAGGTTAGTGGAGACTAAACCCTACTGGTTTTACTAACCGCACCCCCCACCCACCCCCCGTGGCATTACCCTCACCTTCCCCTGCCCCCAATCAGTGGAAGCATTTTGGAAAGCAAAGATAATCTAATTTTACCATTTCCCACCCCCATCCTTGCCGCAATACTTTATTGATTCAAGTTAGAAATCAAGGTTTTCTTTAGACTATGGAAGAGATTTCATAAGTCATTTGAATGAACTGTGCTGAATTCAAGTAGCAACTGTCTTGCTTGATAACTCCAGTGCCAGTATAGTGGCTGCTGCATAGACACTATTCAATAAATGCCTGGGGAAAGAAATTGGACTTTTTTCCTTTAATACTGATGATGCAATTTTAAAATGTTGCTTGTTCTGGAATTCTTTAAAAGTCAATAAAATCAGCTTGGAGGAGATGATGATGTTTATACTGTGAATACTAAAATGTCATGGTAATGATGAAGAATATTAAGCTTATGGGAGTCCACTCCCAAACACATCACCAGGGTGATGAACATCACTTGCGGATGGGTAGTAGCTGCTCAGGGTACTGCTGTCTGGAAAAGACTGCTGAGTCTTCCAGGGGAGTGGGAATGTTGGCGAACACTCATCTTTTAGTAAGAATTTGGTTCAGCTGCATATAGTTTAAAAACAAAAAAGGTAGGAGGGACTTAATAAAAGTTTGTTTTTCTCTCAAATAGAAAAGGCCCAGACGAGCAGTCCAGGACTGGTAAGATGGTTCCATGACATCACTAGGGACTCTGGCCTCTGCCTCTCTGCTCCACCATCCTAGTGTGTGCCATCAGTCCTTAAGGTCATCGTATGATCCTCGAGGGCTGCTGAAGCTCCAGACCTCACATGCAAAATGTGGATAGAAGGCAGAAGGACAAAAAGAGGCTCCTTCCAGCTCAGTCAGCGCCCTTTGAGCAGCCTTCCCATAAATTACTTTAGCACATATGTCATAGGCCAAAACTTAGGAAAGGGAGGCTGGAAAGTGTGTCTGGGTTGCAGAGGGCCCAACTGAAAATTAGGCTTCTGTCACTAAGAATAAAGGGGAGAGGGGCCGGCCCCATGGCTTAGTGGTTAAGTGTGCGCACTCTGCTACTGGCGGCCCAGGTTCGGATCCCTGGCACGCACCCACGCACTGCTTCTCCGGCCATGCTGAGGCCTCGTCCCACATACAGCAACTAGAAGGATGTGCAACTATGACATACAACTATCTACTGGGGCTTTGGGGAAAAAAAGGAGGAGGATTGGCAATAGATGTTAGCTCAGAGCTGGTCTTCCTCAGCAAAAAGAGGAGGATTAGCATGGATGTTAGCTCAGGGCTGATCTTCCTCACAAAAAAAAAAAAAAGAAAGAATAAGGGGAGAATGAATGTTGGAATAGGCACTTAGCAGTCTTTGACAAACTTTCTGTTCCTTCCCATTCTGATCTGACTGGGTACAAGCTGACCAGAAGCCACAGTTAATACTGTTTCCTGGAGGATGACCAAATCTATAGGAGAAACAACTGTAACTTTTTGAGACACTAAAGAACTTCGTGGAAAAGTCAGTCATGTTCCATTGCTTAGGAAGCCATAAAGCTACGTATCTTTTATTCTGTCTTTATGAGTAAAATTAAGTTGATATCAGGGATTTTCAAGTATTTTGAGGGCTGTGCTGAGGTCAGTACCTAAACATTTAGCTCCTCATCATAGTTTAAATCTATTTGATTCTGTTCAGTTTGAGAAGGAAAGAACATAGAATATCTTTATTATTCTCCTTATAAAGCAATGACAAGGAAAAGATTTAAAGGATGAAGAATTGTATACCCTTAAATATCTGGAAAATTTGTCTTGCCTTTCTTTCTTCAAGATGATTCTATAGTACGGGTATTGTAAGCATTCTGAATTCATTCACACCTTAAACAACCTAATTCTTCCTTAAGGTTCCAAAGGAAATGGTGTTTTCATCAGTACCTTGGGGGCAGACCCAGAACCACCTGGGCATAAATGTTGCATAGAGATATATTTAAAAATATGTTTTTCAGTGCATGCACTCCGCTGCTGGCGGCCCGGGTTCGAATCCCAGGCGCACATCCATGCACCGCTTGTTAGGCCATGCCGTGGCGGCGTACCACATAAAGTGGAGGAAGATCGGGCATGGATGTTAGCTTAGGGCTGATCTTCCTTCCAAAAAAAAACAACAAAAACGTTTTTCTTATTTATTCTTGACAGTTACAGAAACATTAAACAAAGGGCAAATGTTATAACATCTCGATTAGGTTTTTGCTTGCAGTGTGACACATCCTAGATACCTTAAAAGGTAGTTAAAAGTCTATGCAGAGGGCAGGAACCCAGGAAGGATGAACTATATTGCACCAGTGTCTTCTACTGCTCAGCCATTTCTGTTTGGGTAGTAGCTGCAGTGTCCAAATATAGAGTGGAATTGGCAGTCTCTGTTTGTCCCCATTTCCTGCTCACTCTCCTGTTTAAAATCTGATAAAGTTATTATATAGCTTGCCACTATAAAAGTAGTATGGAAAAATAGGAAAGGAGAAAAAAATCACCCTAATTTCCATCTGTCAAAAATAATCACTCTTTAGTATGTGTGTGTGTGTGTGTGTGTATTCTGACTTAATTATGATCAGTCAGTATTAATAATTTTTTCTGCTCAATTTTTAACATAATTGTCCATTGTTGTAATATCTTCATAAAATTCTTATTAAATTAACTCATGTTTATCAGAAAGTTCATACACATTGTAAAAACATTGTAAAGAAGAAAACAAATCATCCTGTCTCATGGTCCATAGATATTCTCTTAATGTATGTTTTGAGATGCTGATCTTTTTTATACATAGAAACACTTTTATCACTGGACTTTAATTATATCATGAACAGTTTTCATTTGTAGTGGACAGAACAATCAATTTACCTACCTGCCCACTCCATTCTAGTCCAAATCTCCCATAATCCTGAGTGGGCAGCCAGCCATTGGATCCTTCTCTGACCACAGAGGATTGAACCAGGAGGGGGCATCTAAGCCAGGCTTGGTCATTTAGATACACCTAGGAATTTGACGTGGGATCACAGATTCTGGTTGGTCTCTATTAGGCATTTGAACCAGAAAGTAATAGAGAACCGGAACCATTTTTGTGATCACATAAAAACCAAATAGAGACAAACTCCATTGTCTCGTTGGGCTGGCAGCAAGAAGCAAAAGAGTGAAGCCAACTCCTGAAGCCAGGATCCCATGAAGGCTAGAGAGACTCAGGAGAAGCAGCCTCGGCCCTCAGCTTCTGCAGTCCATCTATACACTGGTCTTGGGAGTCATGGAATGCCCTTGTTTCCTTCTAATAAAGGTTTCTTTTAAGTTAATTTGACTTGTTTCTGAACCTTGCCAACAAATAAAGAAATCCCTGATTTAGACACCCAGATCATTAGAGGTCTTCATGGAAGATAATTTTCAATATGAGTTCACAATTATCTATGGTATATGTCCCCATTGTTAGTCATTTAGGTTATCTACAGTTCTGTCACCATAAACAATATTTCAGTGAACATCCTTGTACATACAACTTTGCTTACTTGTAGAATTATTTTGCTTCCTTTAGTTGCTGTAACTAGAATCGATGAAACAAATAATAGACATATTTTCTTAGGTTTTTTGATGCATTTGCCAGATTGTCCTTCAGAAAGGTTCTACTAATCTGTACATCCTGTTAGCAGTCTGTGAAAATGCCCGTTTTTCCACACCCATCAACCCTGGGAATTACTCTTTTGAATATTTGACAATCTGGTGCATACAAAATGGGTCTACTTTTTAAAGAGTTTTTTAAAAAATATTTTTACTATTAAAGTTGAACATCTTTTCATATATTAATTGGTGATTTATAATTCTGATTTTGTGAACAGCCATGTTCACCTTTGCTGAATTTTTCTATTAGATTCTCCTTTTCCTCTTAAACAGCAGTGCCATTAAAAATTAAATAGGAGAACTGTATATCAAAATTTTAAATGCATATGCCCTTTAACAAATCAATTCCAATGTGTAGTATTTACCCTAGAAATGTACTCATAAAAGTATGTAAAGATATTCAATGGTGTTCTCTGCAGCATTACTTATAAAGAAAAAATAAAACAATAGGGATAATTAAGTAAATTATGGTACAACTATACAATGGAATACTATTTAGCTGTTAAAAAATAAGCTTGTATGGAAAGCTCTCTAAGCTATCTTAACCGAAAAAGCTAAGGTGCGAAATTATATTGTGATCTCATAAGTGTTTTAAAATATATAGATACATACTTAGCCACTAAACAAATGTTTATTGAGTGCTACTGTGTGGCTGGTAGTGTCGTGGGATGATATACACAAAATATTAACAATGGTTAACTCGGGGAAGTGGGACGCTTTTCATGTTATAGTCTCCACTCAATGTGAGTTTTTATTGTTCATATATAATCTGTATATTTAAAATTTAAAAATTAATTTGTGCTGCTTGCTGTATTATAATTATTTATTCAACTGTGTCCCCCAGCAGCTTGTGAGGACCCTAAAGACAGAGACTCAGTTTTGCCTTTACCATCTTGGTGGTTTTTAACTGAAATGGTTTCATAAATGATGGGCATGCTTGGGTCGTCCGGACCGGCCTGGGGTCGAGCGGCTGAGAGACGCCTGGGCTGGGCGGGGTGGCCGCGGGGGTCCGCCGGGCGCACCAGAGAGACGTGCGGCCGCGTTCCTAGAGAGGCACGGAGCCGGCCGGACGCCGCGACTCCGCTGCCCGCGCGGCTGGAGAAGAAACTCGCGCCCCTACGCCCCTCCCACCGCCGGTGCCGGCTGCGGGGAGCAGGGCGAGACCCGCCCGCCCCGCGAGGGGCTGTGGCCCGGGCTCTGCGGAGG